ATGATTTCCTTGTCTTCGTTGTCACCCTATGGGCGTTATGGGGCGCTCGAAGGAAGGCAATGTACGAGGACATCTTCCAGACACCTTATGCCATCAACGGGTTTGTAAACTCCTACATAACAGAACTTAAGGCTATCCAGAAGCCGCATGTCGCTGGTGTGAGGGGGTCACAAACTCGAGTTAATCGCTGGATTGCACTGCCATTGGGGATGGTCAAGATCAATGTCGATGCCGCAGTAGGCCGGGCGCGAGGTGCAGCGGGAGCTATCTATAGAGACCAAGACGGAGCCTTCCCGGGAGCTTCGGCGGTGGTTTTCTCCCATCTTTCAGACCCATGCACTTTGGAGATGCTCGCAATCCGGGAGGCTTTGGCATTGGCAGATGACATATATGTCAGAAGGGTACATATTGCTTTGGATTGTAAATTGGCCGCATGGAGTTCAACAGAGAGGAAGGAGTACATGGCAATGTGCACAATGTATGCAAGGAGCGTGGCCATGCCCATGCGTGTGCGTTGGTGTTTTGGGACCCTGCATGGAGTGGTATGCTTGGTGATGCACACAAGATTAGCCAAGAAATCCTGAAAAAATGCGCATCAACTGTTCAATTTATGCATATAGAGGCTCTTCGTAAGATAGAAGTTGATATTCTTCATATGTTGTCTTAACCATGCTTTCCTGATCAGCAAAGAAATCCTGAAAAATGTGCATCTTCTGTTCAATTTATGCATATAGAGGCTCTTCGTAAGATAGAAGATGATGTTCTTCATATAATCATGCTTTCCTGATCAGCCAAGAAATCCTGAAAAAATGTGCATATAATGTTCAATTTATGCATAAACGGCTCTTTGTAAGATAGAATATGATGTTCTTTATATGTCGCCTTCATGCTTTCCGGAAAAGCATAAGCATGTATAGCTGACATCACCATATACAGGCCTGGTTTATTATTGCGATCTCTGCCATACCTATGTGCAGCTCTTTTTTAGCTAATCCTTATTTTGCAGGACTCGTGGTTCAATTCAATAAAAATAATGTACCCTATACCATTTTTTCAATGTGACGGAGCAACATCCAAGAGGGTCAGTGCTGGACAGATAGGTGTCTCTACGAGTCTGCACATTATGTTACCCTGTGATATGATCCTCCATGGAGCGAAATTTATCTTCATGTGTCACAAAAAACAAGTTTGATCGGTGCTAATGGCGTTGCTGCTATGAGTAGTCTCTTTAGAGCTAACTGTACGGACTTTGAGACAGATTCTTTTTGTGAAATGCTGCCTTCTGAAGGAGGTGCTCACAGATCGATTCCTTTTTTCAGAAAAATATCATCTTACTATGATCATGCTTTTAGACCTTCTGCTTTAGCAGTGATGCAGGTTATCCCTTTTTGCAAGAAAGGTTATTTCGCTGCTCATGTCTTTATGTGGCTGGGCTCTCTCAAGCAACAGGAAACACACATTTCGGCAGGGAATCACAAAGCTTTCAGCAGTAATGTCCAACAGGCTATTGTGAAACCCAGCAGAATTGGATAGGGATGCCAAGCTGCTGATTTTCTGTCAGGTAAAACAATTGCTCATGCAAATGTATGTTCAGCTCTATTTTGTTGTTACAATGTTGAATTCTCTTTTAATTTGGTGTTCTCCTTACCGACGTTCTTTGCTGAGGACTGTCTCAGCTTTGGATAAACATCTATTATGTTCTCCGAGGAATAAGTAATAGCCTTGTCATGCTTCTAATGTGTTATTCCTTTGTTGTTATTATGGTAGTACGAACCCAGTTTGTTGTTTGGTTTATCTAAATATAAGAGAACATGGTTTCCATACATTTTAAATTACAGAACAAGTTAGCTTAACTATGGGCTACAATATATAGGTAAAATGTGTATCCTTTGTGACAAAGATTTCTGTGAATTCTGCCATCTTTTGTCCAGACTACTCTGTCATGCTAACAAAATGCTGGAAGGGTAATGCTTCGTATGATCAGCAGGCATGCCCGCCTGAATTGGGCGCCATGTTTTCTTGCAATAAAGGACTTTCTGATACACTTGAAAAGTAGCCTATAAAATCGAAACAAGAGTTTGATAATTGATTTATAAAGGACTTTGTGCGTTTAGAGTTTTGACAATGATAGACAACGGAGGAATGACCACGATCACTCTACTTTGTTGCTTCATCTTGCGGTACAATAATGATATGCCAAATTATTAGCATTATTATTTGGTATAAAGAATTTTAGGCGCCATTTATTTATTCTTACATTAGTATTTGGAATAAACATTCCCCTGATTTTTAAGGTATTTAGATGAATAGTTTTTCAAATTGCATGGTCATTCCATATCTAGAATTATCTTTTCCTTGCATTATATTTTAGAATAAACAGCTCTTGCATTTTATGTTTTTTTGCCAAATGGATTCTCCTACTATATATGCTTGCCTTATTTAGAACATGTACAGCAGTGTGTCATGAGCATATGGCATCGTTGCATCTTATTTGGTTGTATACAAATTTATCACAATATTTCCCTTTATGATGCATATTTAATTTAGTCCAGTTTAGTCCTCAGATATGTTCATCTTCTTGTTCATCAGATTTGATGAGAGACTGATGCTGCTGCGACCATAAGTGCTGGTGATTTCTGTACATGCACCGAACCAACTAAAGCAAACATCGAATGTGTAACTTCTTCCTAGGTAAGAATAATGTGCGCTCATGTTTGCATAGTTTTTATATAGTAAATTTGTAATGTACATGACCAAGTGGGGCCACATGACTCACCAAATAGTATTTGTTGTCTCTTGGATTGTTATTTATAAAAAAATCATTTGTATTGATCTGAACAGAAAGGTCACATTTGCATTTTGGTTCCGTATGTATATGTAGTACTTTCACTGATCTTTTTTCCTATACAAACATACAGGGCGCAAGCATTGGGTGAATCAAATTCACCAAAGGTTGAAGGAGCTCATCCATCCAGTGAGAGCATTGCAGCTTCCCACATGCCATTTATTAATCCATTTATTTTAATTGCATCAGATACTCCATCCTTCAATTGTATTGCCAGTGTCACTTACACATATGTAATTAAGAGAGAAAATTGGACTTTGCAAGGATGTCACACTACTATTATTTCGATGTGTTTTGCTGAGAAGCTTTATCAAAATTACTATAGTGATCAGTTTCATGGAGTGCCATTTGTTTACACTTTCCTTGCACGGTCACCTGTTGGCACATTCATGGTCATGAAATGCCTATGTTGTAGATTTATGATCCAATTTATTACTTGCTAGAAAAAACTTGTTGACATGGAACTAAGAGGATGGCCAATATGACCCGGAAAATATAGATGATGGTAGCTATATAAAATAATAAATATTGGTGTAGGTTCGGATGTTCTTTCACTGGAAATAGAAATTCAGTTCTTCCATGTCTATCTATTTGTAAAATTACTATCACTTTATTGGAAAAATAGACGGACGCAGCAACGCGCGTCAATCATGATCTAGTTGTCATTACAATCTCACTGCCAAGACTAGAGAAGGAGCCGCTGCTGATGATGAGGGCTGCGGCAAGCTGTTCTTTGCTGAAGTGTTGTATAGGATCCCGTCGTCGGACCTGTTGGCCAGCGTATGCATGCTTGAACCTGCTGATGATAATGATAATGCTTCTTACTGCTATGGCTGTAAAAGGCATGGAAGTGGTGACCTGAAGCACCCTGCAGATCATACCGATTTCATTGGGGGGGCACACTGAGCATGCATTTGTCCGATATTGTGCAGGAAAGACAGATGACAGATCGTCGTGAATACTTTGACGACGAGGACACCGAGGAGGAGCTGCAAGCTGAGAAGGCCAGGTTAAGGCGGCGGCTTGAGGGCTTTGATGTTGTATACAATGGGAATCAGCAAATGGTGAGACTTGCCAGGAAGCACCAAGGGGATGATGCTTCACACGAGACAAAGCGAATGAGGACACTTACCATGGAACACCAAGGGAATGGCACTTGACATCCCGTGGGCAGGCAAGGAGGGCACTGGGATCTTTCAAAAAAGAAAGGAGGGTACTGGGATTAATTGAACTCTTTCTGTGGGGCGGGACGCCCTGGAGTAGCATTTGTTGTGCCTGAATAAGTATTAATTGTTTCACCATGCATCAGCAACTTACCCTTGCTCTGATTATTAAATCTTCCAAGCTGTAGACCTGAGCAGCTTGCTTTTCCTGCTTCGTACTTGCACGTTAAAAATATCTACAGCATTTAGGATCAGGTAAGTGATGTACTTATGGTTTCTATGGTTGATAATAGTATACAGATTTTTCTTCAATACTGTGACAAATAAAGTTCCCATGTTCAAGTGCAAGACCCATGAACATAACCTTATTTTTTTTGTATTATACTAGATAAGTCCACTTTTCAAGGTACCTTTTGTCTTCTGCTAAGATAACAATGCTACATCTTCTTCAAACCTCGCGCGCTTTAAACACTTGTATTTTACATGCTAGCTCCTGTATTTGATCAACTCAACAAATAGTTATAGCTAGAACTCTCACATTTATTCGAGTATATAGTTCTACGAGCTTTGCCAATTTTCAGTCCACGAAAAGTGATTCACATATCCAAAACCAGCTCATACACCATATGTTTACTAATTTCTTAGTAAGGCTATTTCGGCGTCTCCTCGCCAGATAACTTGTCCAGGAAGGACAATATCTCAGAGTTCACCCTCTCGGCCTGCTCTTGCTGGAGGTAATGGTGACCTTCAATGATGGCAACCTCAAGATCCGGAACACTGAACTTGAAAGCTCCGCTCTCAATGTAGTGTTTGATTCCAAAGGACTGGACACCAGTGTCCTTCTCACCCCCGATAAACTTTGCAGGCACCGTGATCTTCGCACCATGCCATGGCGCAGTAAGCATCCAATTCCTGTGTTCCCATGAATTAGTGCTACAAAGCTAGGTCGAATAGAAATCATATGGAGAGAAACTCTGAAACTTACGTGTCCATCATGCGGTAGTAGTTGAGCGCCCGGTGAAGCCAGACTTTTGAAACTTCTCGGCGTACTGACCCAGTTCTTCCTCGGTCATCCAAGGAAGTGGGGATGATGATGATTCCAAAAAGTCTATAATCTCGACTCCAGGAGGAGCAGTGAGGTCATCAAATTTGATTGAGTAGAACTTCTTTAGGACGGTTGCAGCAGCGTACCGATTGAATGCTCTTTCAGTTCTTCCAGGCTCCTGCATGCATGATTTTGAAACAAGTTGGTGTTTTGCAACAGCTATGGCGCTAAATACATACAGATGAGGAAAATACATGGAACCTGGGTGCATATGAACCTGATATGCCCCAAAAAATAAAGAAATAGTTGAAAATGTCAAAAAAAATCTTGAAAACCGTTGATAACAAACTTGATATTCTGCTCGTATAAAAAATTCGCCAACGAAAAACTCCAGTCGACCTTTAGGCAAAAAAGAGAAGAAAAAAAGTGAGAACATAAAAGTGTGAATAATAACCTCAATATAGTGCTGACTTTGTTTTTTGTACAATTAAAGTTATTTCTTAGCAAAAAAATTTACACGAGTAGAACACTTCATCATGTTCCTTGCCAAAAAAAATCAAGTTTTTTCAACCATGTTTGTAATTACCAAGTTTAAAAAAACATACACCCAGGTTCCAAGCGTCCTCCTCTGAAACCATGACTACTAGTCTACCACCAGAAGGTTAGGGCATGTACAATGGTTGATAAGACAGCCTTATCTTACACCCACCATGCAACTAAGATATGACAATAAAACATGACGTACAATGGGTTATATCTTAGTCTTATCTCTATTCCTAAATTTGTGGTGAGACAAACTATGCTAAGAGATCATCTCTTAACTAAGATAAGACAAAACTCTTTTTTCATTTCTCTCTCCTCCACCTCAGCAATGATAAGGCTAAGATATAACCATTGTACATGCCCTTATGCTCTATGCATGAATGGTGCCACCCTGAGGCCTGAAACTGTAATTTTGGACCCGCAAAAGAGCCAGTAATTTTGGAGCAAATGAAGGCCAACTGAGTGGATCTGTCCAAATCATAATCGAACCTCTCTTGCCAGACCATTACTTATGTGAAATATTGTTGTTCAATTTTGGAGGAAGACTATTACTTTACCCGGGGGCGCATTGTTCTAATCTTAAGAAAACAAATGGTATCATCGTCTAAAACATAGAATGTATCATTTTTTGAAACTTCTAAATATTTTTTTTATTTTTTGCTCTGCAACACCGCTCTGCTCTCTCTCTCTCTCTCTCTCTCTCTCTCTCTCTCTCTCTCTCCAAAAAAACATCATCTGCTTCAGTTTGTATGTGATTAATTTCTATGTCACAGAAGTCGATTCACTGCTTCCCGGCGCATGGCGTTGGCAATAAGAAGAATGGATGCATGCTAAATATACATAGGACAGCGTCACCTGGTACTGCGTGATGTAGAAGCCATCGCCGCGCGCCGCGAACATCTCCGACACGGGTCCAGGGGAGCGTGGGAAGAACGGCACCCCCAGCGCGACGACGGCGCACACCCGGTCCGGCCGGAACAGGCACAGATGCCACGCCGCCTGGCCGCCCAAGTCATGCCCCACCACCACCACCTGCGCCGGTGCCGGGTGTCAGCGCGTCACTCGCAACGGCCGAGGGGTAAAAACACAAAGCTATAGCGGTGCAAAGAAGGGAGCACCTTGGTGAGGCGGAGGTGGTCGAGGAGCGTGACGACATCGCCGACGACGTGGAGGATGGTGTAGGCTGCAGGGTCAGCCGGGGCGCTAGAGTCGCCGAAGCCGCGGAGGTCGGGAGCCAGGGCACGGAAGCCGCGTGCGGCGAGCGTGGCCATCTGGTGGCGCCACGACAGCCAGAGCTCCGGGAAGCCGTGCAGGAGGAGCACCGCCGGGCCGTCGGCGGGGCCCTGCTCGGCTACGTGCAGGGACACGCCGTTCACGTCGGCGTGCCAGTGCCGCACACCGCCGTTCTCGTTCATGGATAATGGCTTAGTTGACTCGCTCGCCGCGCACTGCTGGTGCTCTGCGGTTCTGTGGTCAGGAGAGGTGGCGATAGTGGCCAACCGAGAACGTATTGAAGTTTTGCAAGCTGACGAGGATACGTCCGCGTTGAACGGACACAAAAAAACGAGGATACGTTCCGGATTGACCAGGGCACCGCCTCATACTTTTCTCGCTTAGAAAGATGGGACCAAAAACGAGAAACGAGCGACCAGTCGACGACCAAAACGCACAACTTGATAAAGGCAAACAATTCGGTCCGGTTGACAACAAGGAAAAGTCCGCTAAAGAAAACAAAAAAAAGTTTCAAAATAAACCTTAAACCTGTAGACGGTTGCTAAGCCAAACCCTAAACTTTTAATACTTGAAATCAGCACACCGAACTCTTTAATCTTGGTCTATTTTAAATCTTGAGTAGGTTCTCGAAGGGATTCTCGACGGGGCAGCAGGTCAAACCGGGATCGTTGGCTGCGGCCGAAAGCGACTGGGCCGGCCCACCAGGGTGAATAGTGTTTTTCTTTTATGTAGTGGCTGACTTAAAAATGTCGAAAATATGTAAAACTCCTAGGGAATCAAACTTATGATTTAGCACATGTTTGTAGCCGTGATGGATGCACATGCTTGTCCTTGTCTTTTCTGCAACGGAACGAACAAAAGGGGGAGCAGCGTGGTGGCGATTATGTTATGGTTGAAGATGATGGCCTGCTTGGGTATGGTTACAAATTCTTGTGTGGCAGGGTCTTCTCGCAAAGTTCAGGGATGATGACATAGAGCTCCAAAGATCTTCATGTTTTACTAATTGTTAGGGTGCTCTTTGTTTTTTCTAGTTCTTTGTGCGTGTTTTAGGGTGTACTTACTTATACAGGTCAAAGACATTGTATTATTCCACGATTTGAATACAATCATGCTTTCTAAAAACAACTAAAACGGGATGACCTAGTTCAGCCACTCGCTTGTTGGCTCTGTGTAAGACGTCAACAATATGTCGCAAATAGAAAATGTCCCTATGCGTTTTAAGTGTTAGTTTTCCACAAAAATGCGCACGAGCCACGGCCCACAATCCTCTGATTCACTCCTACTGGCTCAGGAAAAAAACAGGCTATCATGTATCATTTTTAGTTTTGAAAAGTTGGTTTGGGTCGTTACGTTGGGTCGACTTTTGCGTTTATTTCGACTCAAACGAATACGCGCGGACAGTTTGGATCAGCGCATTGGGTTGCTATAAAGACAACTTTTCTTGACTCGAGCATGTCAGCGTACATGGTTAATTTGTGTCAGTCTCCATTAGGCAGCAGAAATTAACCCACGTGCGTGCTCTTTCCGTGAGAAAGAATCAGAACCCTTCCTCTACTTAAAAAAAAATCAAGAGAGACACGTACATAGTCATCGAACCCGATCCGGTGGCGGCCGTAGCGGACACCGCTTCCTAGTCGAACTCATCACACCCTGCCTGCTACAAGAGCTTGCAAAATTAGAGTTGCCGCATCAGATTAGCCTCGCTCGTCCGCTTCATATACACGATGGCGACCGCACCGCAGCAACGCCGGCCACAAAATTCATGCACGCCGGAGGCTCCGGCTCCAATGGCGCCGATAAAGTGGACGCTCCCGGCGGATCTCCTGCTAGAGATCGTCGCGCGGTCCGACATCCGCACCTTCGTCTGCTGCGCCGCATCATGCAAGCTCCTCCGCCGCGACATACTTAGTCCGTCCTTCATCCGCCGTGTCACACAACGAGGTGGTATCGTGCCCTCCTGCATCCTCGCCTACCTCGATATTCACGACGCGGGTGATCCACGGCCACCCGTCTCTTTGGTCCACCCGGCCACCCGTGCCGCCAAGTCGTTCATCCGCAACTCTCTGGCGCCTTTCATGTCTCGCAGCGCTAATTATGACTTCCTTAGAGAGTACTATCCCGTGACGTCTCGCGGCGGTCTTGTCCTCCTATGCCACTGCCACCCTTGTGGCGGACCATCTGACATGTGTGTGTATGACCCCATCACTGGACAGCGCACCTTCCTACCCACGCCTCCTATCACCCCGGATTCTCATGGATGCATCGGTAGGTGTGTCTTGCTCACCGCTGCGGACGACATTGACTGCTACTTCTTACTATTCGCCGGCGAACTCAGCAGTAATGGACATGCCATCAAAATCCAGACATTCACATCGTCAACCAGCACCTGGGGACCCGTTGTGACCCATGACGGCTTCTTCCCGCAAAAGTGGCCCGAGAGGCACCCCAAAGCCATTGTTCTCCCCGGTGGCATTATCCATTGGTTGTTGGACGGTGGCGGCAAGATCATAACCTATGACGTCCGCACAGCTGAACCAGGCCAGCTGGAGGTCCATGTCCTTGCTTTTGTTACCAACTTCGAAAGAGGACCACCCTACCTAGGATCCTACTCCAGTCGGGTGCCGGTCCAAGTTACTAAGACTGTTCTGTGCCCATGGTTTCACTATCTCCATGTGGCACCAGCTCCGTGACGGCGGTGGATGGGCCCTAGAGACTGTGATCGATGTGTGGGAGAAGGTGCGGTCTCTAGACCCCGACATCCCTGCCGAACGACATCTTGAAACTACGTTCATGCACCCGAGTGAGAGAAGCACTATCGTGGTCCTGCAGATAAGCCTACGCGAACATGATGTGATGAACTATTTCCATCCTCGGCTCGTCGTTCTTGATCTGGAAACGAAGAAGATCCGTGTTATGCGGCGTTGGGCTCTCTTCTTTAACCTCTTTGAAATTGACATGCCTTCTCAGTTACGAGCCATGAAAATCTTTTTGTAACTAACTAGTATGCATCCTAGCAAACTTGCACATTAAGGTCACTATGCCGTGTGGAAAGCAATGATTTGTACTGCGACAAGACCATATATATGCATGTATATGGGTGTTCGTTTCTCATGTGGGTTGGAAACACTTATTTTTAAGTCTATGAGTTTGTACATTGATTTTTCATTAGATGACCAATTATCTTATTTGCATGTTTTTGATGCATTATGTGGGACTATGAGAGGCGTGATTCTGGACCATGGTTCAGCCGAACCTATGGTCGACGCCGTACGATTGAACATCCTGCTACATGTGGATCCGCGTCATGCATTGTTTAACATGCAAACAGCTCCCATCATGCATTTTTTAATCAATCATACACGGATCCTTATGAAAAGTGTTCAGAGATCAATGGTGTCGAGCGTAGGTTCGGCTGAACCATGGTTCCTTATAACATTTTCCGTGGGACTATGTGTTTGAGATGGGCGTCATATAAACATTTGTGCAAATTTTGTTGTGAAATTTAGTTGAGTTCATGTGCCTACTGGCACAGGTTTAGAAATATGCATGAGCTTCAGGTTTTTTTTAACAGGGCAATCATCCCTTTCCATTAATTCATAACAAACAGAATTTGCAAACAGGAAACAAGAAAGGGGAGAGAGCAAGTTCAACATACTGACAAAAGATCCAATGTATGCACTTGCAATCGGAACATGTAGACAAAAAAATGCGCCATAAAAAATAGAGACTATCCTAACAATCAGCAGCGAAACAGAAACCAAGCATGGGACAACTCCCAGACAAATAAAATCACAGTTACTAATGGCTAGTGTAGAGCAGATGTAAAACGATCATAAAAAACAAGACACCGCAGGCAGGCCCATCATCAGTGGAAGTGGATCCGTCACAGCATCTTGAGGTTGATGGCGTGAGTATGTACGTGAGCTTGAGAGTTGGAACTGAAGTACTTCAGTTGGGGGCAGGAAGGTTGTTGGAAACAAATAGTCCTAGTTGTTTAATTGTGTTTGAACCAGGAATGTGATGTTTCAATAAACTTACACTGACATTAGTTTGGGCTTTTTTTTGCAGGGTAAGTCATGGGTTTTATTCCTTGTAAATAGTGTTACATTTTGCTAATACAAACTCTGAAGCACTGTCTGGAACGTGCCACAATGAACAAGCGATGCTACCTCTAGGTTGCCCAAAAGCTTCTTGGTCTCCGGCATTAGATGACCGTATGCCGACCGGTCAAGGCAACAATTGCAGTCGAGCTATCAGATTTAATAATTATTGGCAGCTCCGACCATTGCATGCTCAATGACATGGCTTTCAGGATAGCACTAATTTCCGCTTCAAGGGCATCTTCGCAGTAGAATAAGTAGCAATATGCTTAGAAAACAACACCATTATTGTCCCTTAGAATCATACCCATACCGGCTACACCAGTTTCTTTCACGAACAAACAATGCTGCCTAGCCAGGAGCCGGCCTAGGCCAGGGGAGGCATTGCTTCTGTACTAGTATGGGTTTGGGAGAGATGTCAACCACCGGGGGCTTGCCCTTGATAATGTCTTCCACACTGTGCAACGTGGCCTGTTGAATCGAGAAAAGGTAGCTGCACGGGAAAGTTTTCACTGCATTAGGAGGTGCCACTGCCTTTCCATTGTCACGCCCAAGATGCGACCCTATCCTAAAGGAACTCGAAGGTCCCACCAAGAATAGAAGCGCATCTTGAAAACGCTGTTGCAAGGTGGATATCATTACATCAACATTACATAATAGTGGGGATATATTCAAGACATACAATGTCACATGAATACAACAATACATCATATACAGGATCAACATCCGACTACGGATGAAACATAAACAGAAACTCAAACAATATCCACCCTGCTAGCCCAGGCTGCCGACCAGGAACCTAACCCAAGATCGACGAAGAAAAAGAAGAACTTCAACACAAGTAACATCGCTCTCGCGTTATGATCATCGCATAATCTGTACCTGCAACTGTTGGTGTAGTAATCTGTGAGCCACGAGGACTCAGCAATCCCATTACCATGGGTATCAAGACTAGCAAAGCTTAATGGGAAAGGAAGGGGTAAAGTGGTGAGGTTGCAGCAGCGACTAAGCATGTATGGTGGCTAACTTACGCAAATAAGAGCGAGAAGAGAAGCAAAGCAAGCGGTCGTCAACTGGTAATG